TTCCTCGTATCGGCGGTGCTATTAATATCGGATTTAATATATACTAGGACCTCTTTATATTTCCTAAAGCTCTTAGGATCGGCCTCGCTAAGCTTATAGCGACGGAAGATACGCTAAACTATAGGCTACGGTAATCCCTAGAGGAGTAGCCTCGTTCTCTAAGAGTTTTCGAGGTTACCCTACTCGATGCCGTCCGCTAACTCGACAAATTCGCGGACGTACCCCTTTAGGTCGTTATCCTTAGTACGCCTTACTAAGTAGAGGGCCTCGAGCTACGCGCGACTACCTTTAATACGACGGCTATCGCGCTCCTAATACTCCCTTAGAAAGGCTAACTTAAAGGTCTCCTAGTTAGTATTAGACTTGTCGTCCTTTTCTAGGTAGCTAACTAGAGTTCTAAGGGTTCGGTAAAGCTTAGTACTAGTAGTCCTCGTAAGGGACCGGATCTTATACTAGTCGGACTCTCTATCGAGCTCGTACTTAATTAAGCCTTCCTTAAAACGCTCTATATATACTATAGCGTTCTACCCTTCGAATAGGGGATTTGTACTACTCCCTAGTTCTAGCGGGCGACGCTTGTTTTAATAGAGAAGCTTAGTTTGCTTCTCCATTATCTTTACAAGGATAGTACAGAGTGCCTCTAGCGTAGAGGGCGTAGGAGGCTCGCTTATATTAACTAGTCGCCGCCTAATTTCCTCGTTAATAGGGTTAGGGGCGTTTTCGGATTTAGAAGATTCCGCTAATTCCTAATACTCGCTTTCGCTAGAGCTTATTCGATTACTTATAAAATAGTTAAAATAAAATGCTATATAAAGCTAAAATAAAATGCGGTATAAAGGTGTTTCTGTTTGTTTAGTATGTTTAGTTTGTTATAATATTGCTACGTAAGAGAATAGTATATTAGGCTATTCTCTCCTAGTATTACCCCCGGGGTAGTATTAGGATTTAGCCTCCTAGGGGTCGCCTAATTACCTCTAGGAGCTTAGTTTAGTAAATTTAGACGAAAGCCGCTCGGAGGGAGAGACTGCAATCTCTATTTATACCTAGATCCTAGAAACTAGCTCGTATCTCCTTTAGCTAGGCGAGGGGGCAGTAGCCTTCTTTTTCTAGTAGAAGGCTAAGTACTATCTAAGCGAGGCTACGAATCTAGGAACGCCCTACCCGATTAATAGGGGACTCCCCGGCTATCCGACATGCTATCTAGTATTTACTATCTATTAATAGTCTTAGTAAACTAAGTAAGGCCGATAGGTAATTAGTCTATCTCCTCCTTAGGCGGGCTTATCTCGAGTAAGCGGTACTAAATAGGTCTTCGACCTAGAGCCGAGTCCTTAGAAGCTAGCTATAGTTATAAACTAGGCCCTAAGCTATAATAGTCCTAAGGGTTTGTAGCTTTTTAGAGTTAAAGAGATGCCCTCGTTAAGAGGTTTCTTCGCTTGTCGTAATAGCCCCTCGAGATACTTCTATATCGTCTATATCGTAGGCTCTTATTATGCCCTCGCTCTAGTTATAGCTATTCGTACCCTAGGACTACCTTCGATATACCTAAACCTATTAGATATAAAGAGATAGCCCTACCTTCGGCTCTAATAAAGGACGGAAACTAATACTACTACTACTACTACTAGTAGTAATAGTATAGGCAACCGAGGGTAATATAACCTATAGCAATATAGGCAGCTATGTTTAGTATAATAGGATAACAAGACAGTCGCTTAGGCTAATAATTAGAGCTCTGCAATATAGGTATTATAGAAGTATAACGTAAACAATATACTATACGAGGTTAATGCCCTATCTATAATATAGAAGGAGGCCTCTTATATAGGCTTAAAACTTAGCCTAGGTATATAGGGCCGGTTACTAGCTAATACTACTACCCCTACCTATAATACCTATAGCTTAAACTAACGATAGCGACCTTCTACGCTATAGTAGGGACTTCGGATCGGGCTATTAAGCTAGCGACGAGGTATTCGATAGTAGCGCTTCGTTTAGATATAGTTATACGGTTATACTATTCTATAAGACGGACGAGATTAAGGTTATTAATATAACGGAAGAAGATTAAATTAGGAGATAGAGGTAGAAGACGTAGGAAAGTAGTAGATACGGGTATACCTATACTAGCGCGTAGTATATTATACGAGATACTTTATAACTTCAAATATAATAATATTATTACTAATTTTATATACTCTTATATACGCTATATTCTTTAGTATATAGCGCGTCTTATCGTCTAAAAACGAGCGAAAACGAGTAGTACGTTATTACGTAGCGAGTCGTAGAAGGTCGAAGCCCGCTTACTAAGCGATAAAATCTCGGCTTTCCGCATTACTTCGAGCTATATACTATAATACCTACCCTATTTTACGATTCCCTTAGAGCCGTCGATACGGGTTCGCTATTCGAGCTCTAACCCTACGATTTTATTAGATATAGAGGGTCTTAGCGCTCTTATACCGAACGAAGCTACGATTTCGAATAGGCACTCGTAAAAGAAGATATTAACTAAGTAATTACAACATTCTCGACAATAAGAATACGACAATTGTAATACCCTAAGCTTAACCCTTACCCTTACCCTAACCCTAACCCTAATCCTAACCCTAAGAGATTAAATTATCTACGAGAATACCTCTTCCTCGATAGTATTAAGGTCTACGAAATAGTCGCTATCGTTATCGTAGTCTAGCGACTCCGTTTAACTTCCTATAGCACTATTAGAAGCTACTATTTAAGACAATAGTAAAAGCCGGAATAGTAATAAAGAAGTAATCGTTACGGATAAGGCCTAGATACTAGACTAGACTATATCTAATTAACGTACTATCTTCGCCTTAACCTCTCGAATAGCTATATTAACTCTTATCTCGAGTCCGTCGTTAATGCCGCCGACGGCGCTCGCAAATCTAGTAGGACTTAGTATATAGAGTCCCTCGCTATCGACGCTACTAATAGAGGCACCTATAGATAATAATCTTTATCTTATACTACGTCCTTTAGCTAGTGTTCTTAGCGTCTTAAATATAGGTAATAGTACCTCCTTAAGTATAGCTCCTTATACCTACGAGCTATACTAAAGCCGTTTAGACTTAAAGTCTAGTCGACGACGCTTAGTAAGCTATATAGTATTGCTATTATTACTAGTACTTAGCGTATTTAAGTCGACAATCTCTATATACTAAGCTAGAGTTAACGGTAGATTTAGATCCGGAGATAGCTTAGTTAGAGCGCTCGGTATTAGTATAGGTACCCTTACTTTATTATTAGACCGCTAAGAGAGTATCGATAGTATATTATCTCGTATATTCTATACTAGAGCGTTAAAGACCCTTAGTTCTTAAGGCTATAATACCCTCTCTCGCTATACCTTATCGAGCCGAAATATAGTATCGATTGCTTTATCTAGTAATTAATCCTATAGTATATCTATAATAACTGCTCTAGAAGCCGCTTCGATAGTACGCTTAGCTTCTATACGCTAATAGACTAGTCGACGTAGAATAACGGAAGCGTTACTAATAGTCGGCTCGTCTTATAGCTAATAGGCTATTATAATATTCTTTAGCTTAGCATTCTACTAACGGATCTTGCCGGAGACTCGTTTATAAGCAATCGCTATAGCTACTTTAACGATAGTAAGCTTATAGGCCGGCGAGATATAGCTATATCTATATACTCGGGTATTAGCGGTATTAGCTTCTGCTATAGAAGCGGCAATTAGGTCGTCTTATAATAGTTGTTTAGCTAAAGATTAAGTATTAGTCGGCGTAGAAATTAGCGTAGAAATTAGCGTAGAAATTAGCGTAGAAATAGGCTCCTTAATTAGTCTCTCGACTAGTATAGAAGCGGCCTCTTCGACTAGCGTAGAAGTAACTAGATTACTTACTTTATAGTCTTAATTAGCTACTAGCCTATAGACGACTTTACTAGTAAGTAATTGCGTTAGACTATATAGCGCAGGTTAACTATAATAGTCTCGGAATATAGCTAGTAGCGTATAGAAGGGAGGACCTAAGCGAGGGTATAGATCGCTCTAAGAGAAGTTAAAATTAGGGTCGAGAAGGGAGGTAATTCTAGGTAGGGTATATATTAGGGTAATAGGAGCCGCTATAGTACTAAGACGCTCTAAACAGGAGGTATTTGCTAATAAATCTAAGCTTCTAGGTACCTTCCGTGCTCTCGGAGGCCCTAATATATACCTCTCTCGAGGTACGGACCTAATTCTAATTATATTACTCTCCTCCGAGATATCTATAACTCCTCCTATAACGGCTCTTAGAGTAATTACATACTAGCTATTAGACCTATATAAGGCTTAGTAGCCGTCCGCTAACCTTTATATACCTCTTGCTTAACTCTCTACCTTTATATATATAGGTAGGGGTTATATAGCGACTAGTATATAATAGATACTATACTAGCGGAGAGGAATTTAATAGAAGCCGAAGGTAGGATTTAAGCTACTACGCTAAGCGCTCCGTATACTCCTTTACTTAACTATTAACGGCCTAGTGCAGGGTCTAATTAGCGTATTTTCGATTATATAAGCGTATACGGGTAATAGGTTAAGACTAAGGTATTACCCGTGCTTTTATTTACTTAATCCTTTACGTACGGATAATAGGTTAGAGTTTATTCACATACTAGTACACTAGCGCGAGCCACTTCCGCGTGCACGGAGCGCAACTGCTAATTCAAACCTACTGCGCAAGGTGCCTAATCCATAAATAGCCAGAAGTCGTTTGGATCATATCGATGGACAGGGACCCTGCTTTACAAAGGAACGAAGACGCATGGCACAAACAGGAGAAAAGTAGCGCCGATGCCGAGTAGAGCAGCAGTCTGAGTTATATTCGGCTTCACATATTCGATACTGGATCGCTGTATTCTCACCCATTCGAAAGCCATAGTCGATACGCACTGCACGCTATATCATCCATCCACCGCATATCCAATGATCAACCATAAAATTCCCATTTACTATTTCCCCCTCACCATCCAAACTTCTCAACCCTAACCTCAACATCCCTCCCCTCCCAAACCATGTTGGCACAAGTATTCCTCACATCCCGATTCATCCCATCAGGTCCAGAAACCACAACACCAACCTTGCCATCTCTAGAATCTTCAATCTCAGCAATCGTGTCTTGCAACAACCCACAAACATCCGGTCTTCCATGTTTCCGACTCGGTGGTGGGACGACAACTCTACATCCCATGTCTCGAAATTCCTCCAGTCTTTCACTGCCGATCCAGGACATGTGGCTCGCGTCCTGCACGATCCAGATGAAAGCAAGTTTCCGTGTCAGATTTCTTTCGACATGGAGGAGATGCCACAGCATAGGATATGCAACCGCGAGTCCTGATCCGCCAGCTACTATCACTGCTGCATCGCTCGCTTCCAACATTTCTAATGCGTGCAGGCTGCCATATGGTCCGTCGAGGCGAACTGTTGTAGAAGGGAATGTACGAGCGTAGTTGAGAAGATCTCGAGAGAAGCCACCTTTGGCTCGAATGATGAGGTTGAACCAAGCGTGGCCATTTTCATGTGGGGCAGCGGAGGCAATCGTCATGGGATGGAACTGCAGCCGGTGTTTTCGAGATATGCCAGGTACTGTGATGAAGACGTGCTCGGAGGGAAGCCATCCGAAGCGCAGATCTCGGCCCAACCATTTCCTCCAACGAGAATTCGTTTGGGGCAAGACAGGCCAGTCCCCAGACACTTTGACCGTCTCTCCATCTTCCATGATATCCAGGGTAGCATTGATGCTCGTGGACTTGAGACCTAGTCTCCAGACCAACCTATCCAGAACGAAGATCAAAAGTGCAGCGACCGCATACGGTCCAGCGCGGAAGTGATGCATCCAGATCAGAACCAATGCCGCAGCTTGCAGGAAAACATGACTGGCCAAAAACGCCTCATACCACCATTCTCGAAAGCTGGAAAGGGAAGTCAAATATAGCGTCTCGTAGGCGACAAATGCTCCCACTCCCCAAGTGACGTACTTTATGGTCAAGAATCCCCAGAGTGTGAGGACCGACTGCAGAAAGTTGTACCATGCCACTAGCATGCCTCCAAAGTGCAACAATGCTAAGAAGCAGAGCCATTCTCCCTGACGGCGGTGGATGAGATTCAGATTCTCGTAAGAGTCGCCGGTCAAGCGTTTTATGGGTTGGTTCTTTGCTGCCATGAGGTACAGCCATGGCAGATTTGCAACGAAAAGTAGGCCAGCACGATCGGCGAGGATATCGACTGCGCTGAGAGTGCTGAAGTCGATGCCAAATAGGAGGTAGAAGAGGTTAAGAGCGAGAAGCAGGAGAATAAGCAAGCTCGTGCTGTTGGAGGGTATGATTCTGCGTAAAATGGGTAGAGGTGGTGGCTGGTAGGTCAGGACTGCCTTGAGATAGCTCCAAGGTCTGAAGGCTCGACTACGCTGCCGCCTGGAAGCGTGATCTGCTGGCCTGAGAAGCGGACGCAGAGGTGAAATGTCATCGTCAGGCTCTAGTTTCGAGGGAGGTGTGGCATCACCTCCACGGGTACTGCTCGACGAGCTGCTTGCCCATCCATCTTCGCGCCTAGGACTGTATATCCTGTTCTGCCGTCCGTGTGAGATGTTTTCCGAATCTCCATCTTCACGAAATCCCTCCACCGCACCACCAGAATCTCTTCGTCCTTTCACAAGCTGCTCTTCACGTATGCTCACGACTTGTTTCTTCCGCCTTGCTCTTCTCCGCCTGCTTCTTCGTTCGTGCCATCGGTAGGCAGCAGCGATCAGTACTATTGCCAGCACCGCGGCTTGATATGTGACGTGGAGCCATCGGGAGAACTGGAAACCTTCTACGAGGCTCTGGAAATGCTCGCGTTGCTCAGGTGTCAAACGCTCCTCTGTCTCGGATCTGATAAGATTGAGATCCGATCTGACTTCGGTAGACGGTACATCGCGACGTTGTGGTACCAGCGATAGGAATGGGTCTTCCATCCTGCCGCGGCAGAGTGAGACTTATGGCCAGCCGCGTTGGCGTAGGAAAGTAGGAGATGCAGATGTTGACCTGATCATATGCACAGGGTCATGCCGTCGGCAACGTGGAATACACTCTCATCAGTGCAAGCCGCACAAGAATCCTTCCCGCGATATCCGCAGCCAAGAAGTAAAAGTGTTGGCAATGTGCATGAAGGAGAGATATTGAACTTAGGAGACTGACAGTCACGAGTATGGAATCTTTCATTTAGTGCATCGCATCTGATCTAGCACTGAATCATGCCCGTGACATCGTGCACAGACACATGCCATGCAACCCTGTGCCATTCGCTTTCATCCGAACCAACGCCGATATGCAGTATGCTCCAACACCCTACTGCGCTCGGATCGCATTTCCGAGCGCACCCCCAGTGAAGCCTTGTCCTCCACCTCTCCGAGGAGCACCACCGCCGCCTCCTCCGCGACCGCCACGACCACCTCTGCCGCCGCCACGACCACCACGCTGAGCGCCTTGCCGGTCAAAGGCATTAGCAGTGCCCTGCGTTCGCTGCTCGAGCACTCTCTCGTTCGACTCGATGAGATTCTGTGCTTTATCGGAGAGAGTAAGCGCCAAACTCTGCAATCTGCTGAGCTCAACACCCTTGCGGAAAATGATGGCGCTGTTGATCTGGTCGAGAGCGGCTGCGAGATCCTCGTGGTGGATCATCTTGCTGACAATGGCAGCGACTTTTCTTGGCTCGAGGTCGAACATGCCAGCGAGGTTGTCGATCGATAGCGTGTCATAGAAGGGAGCGTATGTAAAGAGGTATGTTCGAAGACCTTCCTCCTGGATCTGGACTTCGAGCATTTGCTTGATCTCCTCTGCCTTTGGCAGTAGATCCCAAATCTTGATGCTAGTGATGAACTCGGCAGCCTTCTTCCACTCACCAGCAGCGAGAGCCTTCGATGCCTGCATGACATGGTCGCGAGTGTTTTCTGGAGGACCAGTGAAGATTTGGCGTTCATGGTACTCGAGCATACGGCGATAGGACTTCGAGATAACGCGCTTCTTCAGGTCGGGTGAACTACCGGACTGGGCGAGAGTTGGTATTTCCAACAGCATGGAGCATGTCAGGTACACGCACTCCAGCAGCTCGAGGTTGATGTGCATGTGGAATGGCAGCTGGCGCTGTCTCTCGAGACGCTCTTGCTCAGGCGTTATCTGCGAGTAGCGCTGCATTTGCAGACCTTGTGCGAGGAGCTCCTTCTGTCTCTGACTGCCGCATATGTCTTGCAGAGCAGTCTGGCACTCGTAGACGAGGCCGGCACGGAAGGCGCAAAGACCGACTTGGGTGAGCGTGCGGTTGTAGAGGATCTGGGTATTGACATCGAAGCTACCGATAGTCTCCTGCAGATGGGACATGAGCATCATGTCACGAGCCTTGTAGTAGTTGTCATGGAGCGCGAGGAAGTAGATATGGCAAAGCATAGCTCGGCCCTTGATGATACCTTCGGCGTGCTTGAAGAGGTAGACGGAGAGGGTCGAGACCAGGTTCGGGATATCCTCGCCTTGCGCTCGGGGAGTAATGGTGGAATCAAGCTTCGGCGAGATGTCTTTCCAGGTGTTCTGCTCCAAGATGCTGACCACTTGGGATGGCTTGAAGTAGATGTGTTCCAGGCGACGCTGGACAACGCGGTTGATGCTCTCTTGTGAGAACTCAAGCTTTGGCTCGGCCTTCAGTCTCTCGGCGTAGATCTGTGTGCGGACGATATTGGTGTAGAGAATGCCCTCATCCGTTAGTCGTTCAACGTATTCGCTGGTGTGTGGGTCGACGTGTTGCAGCACTCGGGTCAGCTCATCGTCGAGGCGCTCTACGAAGGAGACTACACTGCCAGGGACTTTGTAGATCTCCTTTGGAGTGATGGTGGGCTGCTTCTCATCGTCTTCCCACTCCTCAGCATTCTCGATCACAACAATGTTGCGGTTCGATTCGAGCACACCAAGAAGCTGAGCAAGCTCCTGCGATGCCAACTTCCATTGCTCCTGAGACATTTGCGAACCAGTTCCAGAGGTCAGATCGAAGCGGGTAGCGATCAAGGTGAGGAGAACTCGGATGCGCTGATATTCGCTGACTGCGACCTCCAAAAGCTTCTCCATAATTTTGATCTGCTCCAGACGATCTGTGTTCTTCCTTCCTCTGGACTCCACAATCTGTCGGAGATGCTTGAGGATGCTTTCCGGGGTGTAGACCATAGCCTTGCCACCAGCGCCAACCATGGTGAAGCCATCGTCATCTGCATCGATCTGGCTGGCGTTCTGCACCAACGCCTTGGATTTCTTGACCTTTGGCGCTGCGACCTCTTCCACAATGTCCTCCTTCATGAACTCGTCAGGGTTCTTTCGGTACTCCTCAATCTCGGTAGCGTAGTCGCGGTTGTTCTTCCTGATCTTCTGGCGCAGAGCATTGAGACCTCTTTGTGCGATTGGGTTCATCTTCTTGGGGGTCACCTTCTGCTTCTCAAACGCATCCTGCACCTGGTTCTCCAGGTCGGACACGGTCTGGATGTACATCTTTGGCGCCTTTCCGTCCAAGTCACGGATCAGTGTAGGCAACTGCCTGTTCATCTTGTCGTAGTGCTCGTTGATATTGTTCCAGTCGCTAATCTTGAGGCCATTCTCGATCAACCGAATAATGCCCTCCAGTTCATCGAAGCGCTTGTCCTTTGCGGACTTGACCACTGTGACCTTGTCTTCATCGCTCTCCTCAGACTCGTCGGACGCCTCGCGCAAGAAACGGCTGGCACCGGTTCGGCCGCCCTCATCGTCGCTGCTGGAATCGTCGTCGGATGCATCCTCATCCTCGCTCTCCTCCTCGGAAGATTCTTCCTGTTCCTCCTGCTCCCCATCAGAATACAACTCCTCCTCGTCGCTGCTGCTCTCGCTGGAGCTGTCGCCTGCGTGGAAGAATCGAGACATGGTGGGTGGGTGTTGTTATGATGAGAACAAATATCCTCAGTGCGGCACCTGCCTAGAATGTGTCGCCTTCGCTGGTGGTGGTGAGTCACGGGGCGCGACGTGATGTATTCGCCCGTATGATTGTTGGAAACTCAGGTTGATTTTCGACTGCCCGCATCGGATGTTGCCGAAATCTTGGCGTGGGTTGTGCTTTCCTCATGCCGCGCCGCCTTCGCCTTCACCGCCGCTTCTTCTTCATCTCACATCACACACCAACAGTACTTTCATCAGTTTTCATATCCTAACTGCGACATACCAGTGCTCAGACTATGGCAAGCCGATTGGAGAATGCGAAAACTTTCATCGAGCACCTTACGGGTCACAAATTCACGAACAGCAATCTCCTGATTGAAGCACTGGATACCACGGGCCAGAGGGCTCGCGAGTCCAACCGACGCCTGGCCCTGCTGGGAGACAAGCTGATGGTCCACATCATTGCAGACGGGTGGTATGCGAGTAATGCTCCGCTAGGTACACCATCCGATCCAAGTCCTCAATATTCTCATTCCTGATAATCCGCGCCAGTCCGCGGGCAGACATTGCTGGAGCGCATTTGCGGCAACGACAATTTGGCGACGGTCGGGTTCAACATCGGTCTTGACGCACATGTCGTGGTCCATCCAGGCCAGCGCGGCGCGGTGAGCCGCAAGACCATGGCAACCACTGTTGAGGCTGTTGTCGGCGCTATCTATGTCGATTCAGGCAAGGACATCGAGACTGTCAAAGATGCAATGGTCTGCATCGGACTGAATCCCTCTGGAGTTTAGGTAAAGTATACATCGCCCTTTTGACTACTAACATAGGACCTTCGGCTCTTCGCGAGGCTCTGGTAGTTGCTGGATCCTCGAAAGTGACCTGAGCCCTCTTCATGGAGACCGAACGCAGATGACGCGCACAGGCTGGGCTTCATCCTCCTTGCTTACATTGCGGGCCGTAGTTGGCGTGGTAGCTACTTCTGTCAAGCCTCTCGCAGTGTCTTGGAGGAGCTGCTTAGTCTGTATGCACCACCTGCGCATGGACTCCATGAAAAGGGCTTGGGATATTTTCTGCCGCCGACGCGTGAGCGACAAGACCAAAGTCACCACTGGATCGGGGTATGTGGCGAGGAAGCCGAGAGTACACCACTCACTCTTAAGAGTGTTTGTGTACTCCGGCTGACTGCGGTGAGCAGGTGACTCCTTTATGCGGCAACTCGTCTGGCATACGCAAGGAAGATTGGAGGATCGGAGGCGAGCCACGCTGGGCATATACGGTCTTTACAGAATGAGGAAAGCCAGGATACGCTTCAACAGCTATACCTGAAGGCACGCAAAACGGGGACAGGTCGTGTATAGGGAATCAACGGCAATGCGTGCTTTTGAACCTTTCACGGCTTAACTTTGTCAAAGCCTCAAAGTGCGTGCTTAATATTCGCTGTCAGCACAAGCCCGAGCCTTCCTTCCACCTACTCTGACGAACACGAGCGCGTTGGCAGTGGTTTGATCAGTGATATTGTTGAACAAAGTGCTCTCACATTTTCAGTAGTTTCGGCAGGTAACCGATTGATCCACGCATGGATGTCATTCTAGCGCCATGTTTGCGACGCTATCAAGCTCATCATCAGCAATTTTAGGAAAGCCACGTACGCTTGGCAAAGCGGTCAAAATTAATGACTCTCCTCACCATGATGAGCACAATTGCGCACTACTTGCCCAAAAGTCGAAGCTCGTACAGTACAAACATAGCCGAGGCGTGCCGGAGTTTTGGGATGCCAGGACAGGTATTCTAACCCATGAGTGAACGCTGTTCACGCCAGGTTGGCTAAGATCTTGCTGGTATCCGGCAACGGCTTAATTAAGAACTGCAGGTGGCCTCATGCTGGGAGGCATCGTGTTCTGATAACATTTTCGGTTGCTCCGGCCTCTTCAGACGGTTCTCTGGAGGACGTATCATGGATAGTATGGTATGAATGCCCTATGAACAGAATGTGGAAGATGCCCCGGACCAGGTGAAGTCTCAGCTTTTGAGCTTCGCGCCAGAAGAGTATTCCCATATGCTTGCAGATTTGCTGACAGCAACGTTCTCCTGGTGTGGTCTGCTCCTTCTAATATTTTTGCTGACATTCGTTCCTGGAGCGTGGGTGTAGCGGAGCCGAGGCATTTGACCTGAAGAGGATATCGCGACGGAGTCAATATTCTACTCGATGAAGAATTTGTTTCAAAGCCACGCGTGTTGGTATCGTTTTGCAAGCATGCTGTGCTGCGTAGGATGCCCGGGCGTCACGCTGCTATGCATGTGGTCATCTCCCAAGCAGATCCCTACTCTGCTACCCTACTCTGCTACTGAGTAAGCGTGCTACCCTCGCAGACACCCATACCACCAAGCCTCGGCCGGCGTCGTGCTCCATCGTGCCACTTTGCCCTTTGTGCCTCTCGGCGCCAGTGCTCCTGAGTACTGTCGATAGAGATGTTCGACAACGATAAGCGAAGACAGCAAGTATTGCCTACATACTCCGCAATGCCGATCGGCACGACGGCAAGATGGAGCAATTGGCGTCTGTACAGTATACATAAGACTGCATCCAGGAATGCGGACCGGACCTAGAATCCATTTTTCCGTGTCCCTGACTCCCTGTATACCTTACCCTTACACACTTCCAAACTCTTTTACTCTCCACGAACTTTCCGCGACTTTTGCCACCTTGACGGCTCGAAATTAAGCCCAGGTTTATTGAAGCCTACCACGTCGCGCGATGCTCGACCGCCACCTTTCGGGACGCTGCTGAGCTTGCCAGACATCTTCAACTTCCACACGTTCACCGCATCGCTTTTTCGCATCGATCGTTCGCTGGGTGTGGAGTGCTAGCTGGTCTGGTACAGCCACGTCTTACAGACCCCTTCCCCTCCACATCCACCGCTTCGCTGCTGGCCTTGTAGCGAGCCCGCCCGCCCGCACGAATCTGCGCATCATGCCACGTCCAATTGCTCGACCGGCCCAAGTCAAGGGCTCGAATGGCTTTGGAGCGGAAGACTTTCATGCGTTGGAGGCATTGCCCTCCATGGAGAAGAACAGGTTTGGCACCAGCTATTCCGTCGCGACATCCGAAAAGGACGGCAGGTCCGGCAGTTCGGCGAGTCAAGAGTTCCTGAAGCACCCAGACATCTCGCTTTCGGAGCAGGCACAGGATGGTCTACTCTACAAAGGTGGCCTTTTGATCAAGCAGCCGGCACCCACCAAGGTAGGGAGCGGCAGCGTCCGGCGCGCACACGACGAACATGTGCTCGCCACTTCAGCCGCGGCTTTGCTAACGGCATGGGCAGGACCCACGAGACCCAATCAATCTGCCATTCAGCAGGAAGGCGCTGGCAATCTTCTTCCTCTGCTTCTTCGGCGCCCTGGCTTCCGCTGCAGAACTGATCCTGGGTGCCATGCTTCCCGTCTTCGCCCTCCAATATGCTCACCTCAACCCAAAGACCATCCTTCCTTTACTCACCGCAAATGGAGGCCTGCCGAAGGGAAGCGACCCGCTGAAAGTGCTTTCCGAGCTTCCCAGTGCCAAGCCCATCTGGGAGGTATATCTGCTTGCCTCTCTACCAGTCCTGGTAATGGGACTTGCCAACCTGGCCCTGATTCCACTCGCTATCTCAATCGGCCGACGACCAGTATTGCTGATATGCGGTGTGATCGCAATTGGCGGGGCTGTATGGGCAGGATTCAGCCAATCTCTGGAATCTCATCTTGCAGCACGATGCATTCAAGCGATAGGAGCGGGCACGGTTGAGAGCTTGATTCCATTCATCGTTCAAGATATGGTCTTCGTCCACGAGCGAAACACATGGATCTCCTGCGTCTTTGCTGCACAAGGTGTCATTATCATCGGACTGGGAATCGGGACGCCATACATCATTCTCGACTTGACCTGGCGCTGGGTCTACTACATCACTGCTTCATTTGCTGCATTCTTTTTGACCGGCGTTTTCTTCTTCCTGCCAGAGACGAGATGGCACCGAACTCGAGCCGAGATGAGTAAGTCGGCCACGCACTCATATTTCCATTTTCCTGCTGCTGACAATATACAGATGGCGTGCCCCGCCCAGAAGAAGACCAGACCTATGCACCAAGAACATTCCGATACGACATTGCCCTCTTCCACGGAAAGAAAGAGTGGCGAAAGGGCTGGACCGCATTCATCGACACCCTCGTGACTTTCTTCTACCCACAAATCTTCTTCATCACAATGCTGAACAGCGCCATGATCGCCGCAGCATTCGCAGCCGGCTACACCGTTGCACCCGCACTTCTGACCCAACCCTGGTCCTGGAGCTTCCTCCGTCTCGGTCTCTGTCTGGTCCCAGTCCTGATCGCCGCCGTCGCCGTGGGTCTTCTCACAGGCTTCTTCGCAGACTGGACAGCGAACATGGTAGCTCGCAAACGTGGTAAGCGTTCACCTGAGAACCAACTCCTGAACCTCATCCTCCCAACTCTCACAGCCCTCGTGGGTGCCATCATCTTCGGTCTCGCCGGCTCAAACCAAGACCAATACCACTGGTCCGTCTTCCTCCTCGGCCTCGGCCTCATGGCTTTCGGTTTCCTAGGTGCCAATACCGTCGGCGCCGTCTACGTCCTCGAATGCTATCCCCACCTCGCCGGACCCTCGCTCGTCAACATCGCATCTTTCCGCTGTCTAATCGCTTTCATCCTCTCGTTCCGAGTTTCCGAATGGGTCGCAAATTTCGGATACCTCCACTCCATGCTGATATATGTCGGCATCATCGGAGTCTTCGCTCTGCTCATTCCGGTCGTGTATATTTACGGACCGAGCTGGAGGAAACGTTGGCCTGCTACTCATCGAGGCGGTGGATGGTAGAATTTTAAGTATAGTGATAGAATTTTTTAGTATAATGATAGAATTTTTTTTTTGATATGTATCTTGGGACTACTACTCTCGTTGTCCAGACAGATCTTTGTATACTGTATTAAACACATTTGTAAGATATTCAATATAGAGATAAAATCTTGACGATACTAATCTTTTTCTTATCTATCCCCTAAGCTTATTCTATATAGGAGGCATGAAGGCGTAAAGGTCTTCCTCGTCCTCTAAACCTCTAAATCGTTATAAAGAAAAAAAAAACAAGTTAATAATCTCTATTAGAATCGAACTAAATCTTACTCTTACTAAGTATTAGAATTATAGTTTTACCGCTACTTCGAAGTACTAAGATAGTAGTAACTTTGCCCTCGGCGCTACTATTAAATCTTAGTACTAGTCAGAGCTAGCTCGAGGTTTATATATAGTTGCTTCTAAATAGCTACTACTTATAGTCTTTAGACTTCTAGACCGATTTTTATCCTAGTAACTAGAATGTCTCTTATTATTATCTAATACCTTTATAATAACTCTAGCTCTTTAAAAACAATAGTAACGTCCTCTTAAAGGCTTTAAAGCTTACGTAGTTAGAGATAGGTTTATAGAGGCCTAGATAAGACTTCCGGTTGCGGCTAGCGCTGCTTACTATGCAAAAACATTATCTCTGCTGAGTTAGAATAAAAAAAAGTTGAAACTGAACTGTGCCCTCTACCTGGAGATTCGTTAGCACCTGCAAATACCTCGTTATAGTAGGACAGAATAACTTACTGGATTCGAACCAATGACCTTTACAACTTTTGACGAGTTCAAACCGCGCCGAAGGCGGGGTTTGAACGAAGTCAAAAGTTGTTACTGGGAACTACAATGTCGTACTTTGCGAAGCGTGGCAGCGCTTTGCCCCGCCGGAGGCCTACGACCATACTACTGGAGCCATTCCTCGACCGCTAGTCGTTCCGTCGGGAGCCTGCGACCAGAGGACTACGACGTCAGGTTCGAGGTGGCGGAAGTATGGGAGATACGCCCAGAACCTCCTCTTGCTTGCCGCTTACCTACAGTACAAGCTCGCATTCCTCCCTGTAATTGAATTGTTGTTATCTTCGTATCGTCGTCGTGTCGTCGCCGTGTCGCCTTCGTATCGTCGTCGTATTGAATAGGGATCATATTGCGACCGAGTGCACGTGATATACCAGGAGTTAGGTCCGACAACCAATCACGAGCACTCTACCTAATTCTTCCTTCTACACACTACAGTACAATCCGTACTAAGACCAAGAATGCGACCAAGAGCCGCACCAAGAACGCGACCAAGAACCGCACCAAGAACCGTACCAAGACTGCGACTAAGATCCGCACCAAGAATGGTTCGAGAAACGCCTATGTCCGCACCGAGAGGATGTGGATACCAAAGCGGTGAGGGACGGGGGTTTATCCCCCTCCCTCTGAGCGGCAACGTTAGCAAAAGGATGTGGATATCAAAGCGGTGGGCACGGGGGGTTTAGGAGGAGCCTGCGACGACCATTCCCCCCTGCCCTGAGCGACAACGTCAGCAAAAGGACGCGGATACCAAAGCGGTGAGGGACGGGGGTTTATCCCCCTCCCTCTGAGCGGCAACGTTAGCAAAAGGATGTGGATATCAAAGCGGTGGGCACGGGGGGTTTGGGAGGAGCCTGCGACGACCATTCCCCCCTGCCCTGAGCGACAACGTCAGCAAAAGGACGCGGATACCAAAGCGGTGAGGGACGGGGGTTCATCCCCCTGCCCTGAGCGACAACGTCAGCAAAAGGACGCGGATACCAAAGCGGTGGGTACGGGGGGTTTGGGAGGAGCCTGCGACGACCATTCCCCCCTACCCTGAGCGACAACGTCTGCAAAAGAATGTGGATACCAAAGCGGTGGGTATGGGGTGGTTTGGGAGGAGCTTGCGACGACCATTCCCCCCTACCCTGAGCGACAACGTCTGCAAAAGAATGTGGATACCAAAGCGGTGGGTATGGGGTGGTTTGGGAGGAGCTTGCGACGACCATTCCCCCCTACCCTGAGCGACAACGTCTGCAAAAGAATGTGGATACGAAAGCGGTGGGTATGGGGTGGTTTGGGAGGAGCTTGCGACGACCATTCCCCCCTGCCCTGAGCGACAACGTCGGCAAAAGCATGTGGATGGTAAATATCGCTTCGAGAAGGGAGATAGCAGAATTGAGTCGATTACGCACTATTCTAGCAAAACACGCCAATAAAAGTGATCAAGACGATAACGACGGCCGGGGCTTTAGGCTACCCTTCAACCTACTCAAGCGGAAAGCTATATCCAAGGCACTGGTGAAAAGGAAGTCTACTCGACCAGCACTGAAGCGGAAAGCTGCAACCAAGGCCAGTGTTGCACCAGTGAAAAGACAGTCCACCCGACCAGAGCAGCACGCACCCAAGGCGAGCAGTGTGGCACCAGTGAAAAGACAGCCCACTCGACCAGCACCAGCACCAGCACCCAAGACCATTGCTGCACCAGTGAAAAGGCGTAAAGTCCACTCGACCAGCGCCGCATCCAAGACTAGTGCTGCACTAGTGAAAAGACAGAAGGAAGAAGGACAATAATGCACACCGCACCCAAGGGCAGTGTTGCACCAGTGAAAAGACAGTCCACTCGACGAGCAATTGCATCGAGACTTTTTCAATGGCGTCTTCTTCGACTCAGATTGATCACTCTCAACATCATTTCACTGTCTCTTTACGACAAGATTGACGCCGCGATCATGGCATCATTCCACTGTCTCTTGACGATAAGATTGACGCCGCGGTCATAGCATCATTTGCAGACGACGGAGACTTGGCCTTTCTTCTTTAGAGGAGGCGGCACGTGCTCCGAATTGGTAAGAACACCAACACACTCAAGCGGAAAGCTGCAACCAAGACCAGTGTTGCACTAGTGAAAGGGCAGTCCATTGGCGACCGCCGCGAACTGAAGCTGAGCTGCTCCTGCAGTATATTCGCCTTTCACCACCTTCCCGGGAACACCCTTTCTCTCCCTACCGAGTTTCTCTCATCACCGAACTCGCATCGCCGCAGAGAGAGATTTGAGGGCATTCGCCGTGCTGCAACTCAGAATATTGGCGGCCATTAGACGGTCCTGGTTTGTACCTCAACACCTTTCCAAACTCCTCAATGTCAGAAACGTCGTCATTGAGCAAGGAATGGAGAACGTTCACTATGCTGTAACTCCCAAGAGTGAAGCCACTGAGGCGGTCCTGGAACACACCTCAATACCTCCCAAATACCTGAGTTCCGGAGGCGGTCGATGTGAAAAAGCACTTGTGAGCAACGTCGGCGAAGATACGAGTGGGAAAAGCAGCTCTTATGAATCATTGTATTGTCTCAAGTTCGAATACGGCATACACCCAAAGGCAACCCCAGACTATTCTACCTCAAGCTCTATGCAAATCGCCCTCTCTCTCTCTCTCTTCGCCTAGCGGTCTGCTAAACGTCCACCTCAATCATCTAGCACGTCTCCGCCATGACGAGTGCCATAGCGCTTGCGGCCAGGAGATCCACCAGCAGTAGTACCGGATTGGGCATTGGCAGCAGTACTCGCGTCTGGCTTGGCGGACTTCCTGACCACCTTGTTGACCACCTTGTTCATGTTCAACATGAATTCGTGACGCATATCTTCCTGAAACGTGTCCAAGTCAGTGAAACCTTGGGTCTTCAGGTCAGCGCCATCCTCGCCTGTGACATCCGGCATGTTCCTCTTCAGGTACGCAATCTGTGTAGCGAGGTGGCTCTGATATCCTCCGGCCTTGGTGTGGCGGAAGGCCTGTTTGTTGTCCGCCATAAAGGCTTTGCTGGTGAGATACGCCTGCTTAACGAAATCTGTTGGTGGGAGGCCCATCACATTGGCTTTGAAAAGCTCAGCATCTTCCTCCTCTGTAAGTCTCAAGGGCTGATCCGCACGAATGTTTTGCATCATGGTCAAGTAAGCATGCGTTTGCTGTTCAGTGGTCCAGCCTTGAATCACAACGTCCACGTTCTCCAGTTCGTCGGCGAAGTAGTCGAAGACATTCTTAACAGTTGTGCGAAGGGCTGGATCGCTGGCGTCTTCTACAAAATCCCATTCTTCGCTCTTCTCCGACTCCACTTTCTTCAGCCCCTCCGTTAGGGTAGAAAGCAACTCAGGATCAAGAGCGTCAAACCAAGCCTCGAGTTCTGCACGCAGCTCATTCGCCTCTGCTACCTCCTTCTCGCGTTCTTCTTGGATCTTGTTCTGGAAGGCCTTCTTAACTAACTTGGCAGCCTTCAGGTATGTCTGAAGTTGGATGGTGGTATTTTGGTCTGCAAGCAGGCTTGCATCATTCGTCTCCAATTTCTCGTTCATGACTGGGAGCCAATTCTTAAATTCGCCCTGGGCAGCTGGCGCGTTTTGAGTAATCAAATTCTTGGGCATCTTGGCATACTTCTCGCGCAGATATTCGATTGTGGCGTGGAAGACCCGGTCATGGAAGTCCGCACCGAGTGTATCGACGTTGAAGGATTTCTTAGTAGGTGAACGCTTCGTTGGGCTGGCGGCCGAGATCACCTCTTTGTCGACTCCGACCTTCTCGCCAATTGCTTTGAGTCTGCGTAGAAAAAGTTAGTAAATGGAGACCGAGAAGTGGCTTCGCTCTGCACTGGTCTAGCACTCAACAGCCTCCGTCTGCGAATCAGCGAGCCTGGGCCTGGGCCCGTATGCAGAGCTGCTCTTTTGGAAACACGGCATGCCTCACAGCTACTTTAGCAGCAGCAGCAGTAGCAGCAGCATCGTCTCGCCAAGCAGGATGCATTATTGCCGTGATTTATGACGGGCAGCCTGGGAGTTAAAACTGGAAATGGGCATGAATGAAGCAAGAGGCATGAATGGAGGAGGCGGAGTCATAAATGGAGAAGGGGCAATGAATGGAGAAGGGTCAGGATGACTTACAGATTGAACTGCTGTTCAAGCGCGGTCTCGACAAATGACTCAAAGTTGTCGCGCTTACCAGCTTCCTTAACCATGTGCTTTGCTATCGTCTGGTTCTGCGCATCGAGGATATCGGCCTTGTCCGGCATGCCGTACTTAATTTTGATCCAATGCTCGGTCTGGGTGAAGTCACCCTCTGGAAAGGCTTCGGTCGACATCGTGGATTCTTGGGTTCGTTGTGTCTGTGTTCTTTGGTTCGTTTTTTTTTTGGGGGTGAGTAAATGAAGAGTGTCCTGAGTGACTTTGCAGAAGTTGCTTGGAGAACGAAAGTGTTCAATTGTCGGCGATAGGGAGTGTTTATCAACACTTTTGGCGCGCAAACATCTTAGTAAGTGAATAAAGTTGCTACGCTTGGATAGTTTGCTAACACAACAGAACACAAAGCGGGCATGACTTGTTTGCAAATATCGAAAGACAGTGTACAAAGCCGTCTAAGTACGATGGTTCTGCGGCTTTCAAGCATTTCCTCTATTGAAGCTGTCAAGTTGGCCAAACACCTCTCTTAATCGAAGAAAGCGGCAAACGGCAGTATGTCTCGCATGATTGCTCTTGTTGACGACCTTCCTAAACGAGGACAACGCATGCTTTGATGGTCTTCTGAGGTACTAGGTATGCATCGAAGGTCTGCGAAAGCCCGAGCAAATCTCTCCATGCTATCAAAGACTACGCAGAGCTTGTCTGGTATTAGGACAATGCCGGCTCAAAGCAAGAGACAATTCACTACCAATGTCGCAGCTTCTGTACGGCTCTACTCACTTGCACGAGCTTTCGATGTCGAAAGCCAAATCAAAGAAAAGAGATGAAAGGTTCCTTGCCCTTGAACATTCTAGCAAGCACACAAATGTGGAACATAGGCAAGCGTAGTAGAGTGCGTCGCATATATTAGTGCTCTCCAATCACTCCTTCTCGGTTTTACAACCAAAGCAGAAGACCTAAACGACGACAATTCAGATAATCTTTTGAAGTACTACTTGTTCATCGTTAAGGTCTTTACGCTAAGTACACAACAAGAGGAAGGAACAGCAACTCGAGCAGAACAACTAGAGTCGTAATAACACTGACTCAACCACAAGCCTAAGTTCTTTGCTCTACACACTAACAACTCGCTGCTCCGCTCATCAATATGGATATCTCTATGCTAGCACCTCCCCGTGCCCGCGCTCCTGGCCTGTCCGAATACCTTCGAGAGCAGTTCGACGAACTTGAGGATGGCACAACGGAGCTAGTCGAAATGACAGAGGAGCAGCAGAAAGATATGGAAGACCGCGAGCGAGTTATGATCGAGTCTGAGGACTTTCGTCTTGAATCACCGTCTTATCAAGTTCGTCTCGACAAGCATCTCTGGGAATACCGTGCTGCGACTATGATTTACATTCGTCATCTAGGTGAAGAAGATTCTCTTGTGACGAGAGATTCACTCAGCTCCGCAAACGACCACATTTTCTTCCCTGAGGACATGGACAGACTCTTTGAGTATTGCAAGCACTACTTCATCTGGGCAGTGCAGAGGATTCGACCATTGAGAAAGGTCGACGTCAGCCCTCGGCTTGCGACTATTATTTCTAGACGCTGGTCCTTACGGCATTGGATCAAGAACAAGCTCGGTAATAAGGCACCAAATTATCGAACCTATCACAGCAAGACCAATAAGTCTCTCCACTATGCCGCTCGTGTCTTCGGTATCAACAAGAAAGCCAAGACCAAGGCGTACTTTGGTCGTCAAGAGCTTCGGTTCATGATCGATGCGGACATGCATCGCACAGAGTACGTGGACGTCGCAGAGCAGCATCATCTTGCATGGATTCTTGGTTGCATTTGTGGTGTGCGGCCTGGTTCGCTGGGATTCACTAGTAAACGTCCTGACAATTATATGCGATGGAAGCACGTCAAGATAACTCGATCTGAGCAGATCAAATTTACAGTCGAGCTCGAGTTTGAATACTTGAAAGGCTATAATGATGACGACGGCGAGTTACACAGTGGCGATCTCATTATGACCGTCACGCCGCCAGAGAATCCCGACAACATTCCCCTGAATCCTGGCTACTATATGCTTCTCATACTGCTACGTCGTGGCTTTCTGAAGCGCTACGAAAACTTTTCACAATTGCTGGCTGGACATGATCATCATATCTCGATCAAGGAAGAAGCACTCGAACAGCCGATTTTCCTTGCTGCCAAAGAAGGAGGCCGTGGTCTCAACCCTGGAAAAGCAGCTTCAGCTGTCTCTTTAAGTTCTTACCTAAGGCTCCGAGCGGACGAAGTTGGGTTTACCAAGGACATTGGCTTCTATGCTTGGCGAAGAGGCACGGCTACCAACTTGAGTGCCGTAAAGAGCAGAGAAGTAGCTCGGACTGTGCTGAATCATCGTCCTGGGTCACACGTTTTGGAAGGGTCAAGATACCTCGACATGTTCAAGAAGCTTGATATCGGAAGTATTGCATACGGCGAAGACGTTCAAGCAGGTGAAGAGAGAATGAAAGAAAGGTCTCACGAAGTTCTTTATCGTGCTGAGCTGCAGCTGACCAAAGCCGAGCAAGACAAGATGGTCGAAGCTTATGTCGAAAAGTACATTGACCGATCGTCAACGGATCAGAAGCTCCAGATGCGACGACTTCGTCGCGAGGCCAAGCGAGAACTTCGCTCTTATGCCAGCAAGATATTCCAAGAAACATTTACTATGGAACAAATCAAAGAGCGTCAGGAGCAGCTGTCGAATCGGTCCAAAATGGCAGACACTCTGTACAAGCGCGCAAGAGCCCGTCTGAGATCGCAGCGCCATGATTCAATCTTCGTCAATGAGTACGATAACGAGGATGAAGATTTTCTCGAACCTGACGAGGAAGAAGCCGATGAGTCTTATGACGCCGGCGAGGCTGCGAGGGTCGACTTTGCAGGTGAAGACACTCCGGCGCAGGGCGAGACGGAAGTTGCTGGGGAGGGTGCAGCTAGGCTGAGTAATGATGCTCCCTCTGGTTCGCAGACCTCGCAGACTCCACAAACAGTCACCTTGAACGTGCAGACTGACGCAGCTGGCGATCTCGAGCCAGTCGAAGAGGTCTCGTACGAATTGATGGTCTACGAATTCTTCGACTTCATGCTGCAGAAGCAATTACTCTCTGGCGAACCACGTTTGTGTCAGGCTTGTGTTGCTGACGAAACGATGGACCAAGAAGCCAAGACGAAATTGTGGAAGAACGCTTCCACATTAAAGAAGCACATTGAGGGTCGAGAGCATACCGCGGATTCTAGATGGCGGCGTCGTATGCATGCCAAAGCAGCAGAGCACCCGCAAGGCAGATACGTATGCGAAGCAGCCCATTGCACTTCTATTCCATCGTTGTCTGTCGGCATTCTCACACAACACATCAAGAAAAATCTGGAAAGCGATCAGCCCGACCACGTCGAGATGGCACGCAGGATTGGCATGTATGTATACATCTACTTCATCACTAACCCCGCATATAATGAAGGCTAATTGTGGTTTATAGGCTCGATCCAGATTGGAGCGAAATGTCTCGAGACATCGAAACAAGAAGACGGATGGCTCTGTCAGAGGCTAAGCAGGTCGCGGCGAAGAAAGGCGTGGGCATCGAAGCAGTACCTCTTAAGGCAGAGCGTGCGGCCGATTTGCCAGGCCAGATGACATCCATTGCTACTGTCGGACCTGCTTCTGACGCTCAGCGAAAGCGAGCCGCTGGCCTTGGCAAATTGCCTGGGGTTCTGACAGGAACCCAAAGCCAGAGTTCATTTGCCGAGATGATGGAAGATTGGCCAGTAGACACTTCGGAGGTGTTCAGCTTTGGCTCGACTACGGACTCTACGGCTGTTGTGCAGAGCGAGCAGGAGCCAGAGGAGGAGAATGGTTCAGCGGCCCAGCGATTGAGAGCTGTTATGAAGCGAAGCGGCATGGATGATGGTGGTGTTGAGTTTGGAAGCAAGGGGATGAAGAAGCTTCCGAAATACTAAATCACGAAGGGAAAGAGGAAGAGGCGCCCGGTGAAAGTGGAATTGGTCATGTACGTAACCGTCCATAGTACTATCACGCAAAGTTCTTGGCCCAAAATCTTGCTCTTAAGTCTTGCCAACTTCCGGTTACGGTCAGCGCTACTCACTCTACAAAAACATTATCTCTGCTGAGTTAGAATAAAAAAAAGTTGAAACTGAACTGTGCCCACTACCTGTACATTTGTTAGCAACTGCCACTACCTCGTCGTGAAGGCTCAAGATTACTAGATTCGAACTAGTGGCCTCGTCATAGCTACATTGACTGCAGGAGGTACTAGTGACGCGCTCTACCCCTGAGCTAAGAGGGCGGGTGCTGATTGGATGGTGGAGGAGTGGGTTGTATTGTATATAGATGAAAGATGAGGTTGGAATTCTGGGCTTCGTGGATTTGCCAAGGAATTTGGGGGCGGCAGCAAGAGCAACGTTGTGGGGGTCTTCGGACTGCTTGTTCTTGTTTAGACAGATACTCCAATAACGATGTGCGGTATCTGCAGACTGTGGTGATGTGAAAGTGTGAGTGAGGGTGGAAGCGCGCTACGGTAGCCGAATCCACTCCTGGATTGAACAACTCGTCAAGTAGTCCGACTGCACTGACCTTGTTGTAGAGCATTGAGAAGCTCCAGACTATCTGTTGCGACAAATCGAGTGGCCAGGGTCAAGCACAAAATGGAGTGATTTCAATGCCTTCCGAGCTATGCCAGCAGTGCAACTGGCTTGTTCATTTCGGCAAGAAGTTGCCCATGTCGTGTTGCAGCCACGAACCCGCTAAGCTATAGGTCTTGAATGGCCGTGTTTCTGTTTTCTGTGGCCAAGGGTCGACGCATGTATCTTGATGGGCCTTTTCATAAGTCAGGGTCATAAGAGCGATACCGTCGTGCAGAGGATCTGCTCGCAATAAGCAAGTCCCCTTCTGCTATGCTGTGCTGGCCAAATGATGGCGTCTTGTACGTCAGTGCACGTACTTGGTGGGAGATAGCAATATCCTCTGCTGTCATGGCCAATTTCTCGTGTCTTCCAGTCTTGGGTTGACTCGGGAAATTCATACATGTATTACCTGCGGCTCATTGCCCAGCCAACCTTCATCGCATCGCATCAATGCTGCATTTACCATCCTCGTGGTAGGAGGCGGCTCGGTCCAGAGTAGACGCTCCAGAACAAGCGCTCGTAAGCTATAGAACCAGAAGCCGCACAAGTGGTACCACGTTACCGGATTGATCAAGCTGAACATGAAGCTGAATAGCCCGTCTGGTGATTCCGCGGAGAACACACCTTCGAGATGTCGTTCTGTCAAGTCCCAGCGTACGAGTTCCTGCCCTCCAGATAATTGGCCAAAAATGTCAGATCTCGCCGCGTGGACATGTCCAAAGACGTGCACAGCAGGCTTCACACGTCGAACTTCTCGTAATAAGAATTCACAGCCGAGAGGACTGACGCCTGGAAGATCAAGATGATATCTGGGTGGCGTGTGTCTTTAGCGATGTCAGCAAGCGACTTCAAGCGTAGGACATTTTGATTCCCAACGTCAACTTACGAGATCAAGACGTCTGTATCTTGAGGCACTCGTCCAGTCCATAGATCCTTAGTCCTAGGTACCTGGAATGCATGTTCTGGCCCTCCGACATGTGGAACGATGGGGGATCCATAGATCTTGAGCGTACAGCCATCACCATGAGATCCTCGGCTCGGAAAATGTAGTCGAGCAGGGTCCTCTTGGAGATAGATTATCGAGCGCCAATTTATGTCGACATTCTGGTCTGCGAGGTCGAGCGTCCCACGACTTCGCACTTCGAGCAGCGAGTCATGGTTTCCAGCAATCACGATCTTGTATTGATGAGGCAGAGAATCCAGCCAGTCCACTTGTGCTTGAATCTCGCTCGGAGTGCCGCCTTGTGTCAGATCTCCAGCGTGGATGAGCACGTCTCCAAAGGGTACGTGCTTCGGGATGAGGTTGTGTGTGTCGCTTATGCAGACCAACGTGACATTCTGCCGGATTGGATTGTAGGGGCGAAGGAAGGAGAAGATGAGATTGAGTATGCGAACTATCAGCTTTGCTGGCGAGAGACACTGTGTGATGATGCTGGGGATGTCCCAAGGTCCTCTTGCCATGGTGTCGTTGCGAATCGATAGATCGGAGGTGGAGTCGTTAGAACTACTGTACCTGTACCGTCATCGTGCCAAGGATTGAGGTTGGCAGGAGTGGCTGGAAAGGCGGTGGATGTTACTCCTAGCCAGCGAACATACAACTCAGACAGACGGAAGCAGGACTCATCTGCGAGATGTCTTATGGAGTCCTTCGACCGGGTCGTAAGGCTGCATACTCATTTATCCCAAATCGACATCTGCGATAAGCCCTTAGTTCTATACTGCGGCCAACTCCTGGATTCATTGGCATCTGGACATACACTCACATAGGTAGATGGCCAACGACAATAGACACGACAGCATTGATCAATCAGCTAACACGTCGATTTTGTGGTAATGGCGGAAAAGAAGGAGGAAATCCGCAGGAGGTAATTTCTTCCTCGGTCCAACTTGAACCCCTCTCCACTTCGCAACTCCTCCCATGAACCGGCGAGGCGAGTTCGCAGCTATGGGTACAGCTCTACACTGACCAGAGTATACTTAGATAAACGCTCACAGCTACAGGCTCTCTTTACAGGTAGGCCAAGCATATCATATTGTCCATCAAGGTCTGCGCCATGCCTCCTCCAATACCGTTTTCCTCTTTGCCCGTTGACAAGAACGGTCCGCATCACAATGCCTGGGGATTGTAAGCAGAAAAGATGTACTGGCTTCGTGTCGTGCTAACTGCGGCATAAGATACGGCAAAGATGACCAGCTAGGGACTCTCAACCGCCTCTCCGACGACGTGGTCAAGGCCGCCGCGAGCGAGATCCAGACTGGAACGCGTATCAACCTAGACTGGCCACTCGATGCACAAGCCGATGTGCCATTCTTCGGTCGGCAGTCATTCGAGAAGAATGTCTACCAGAAAGCCCCTCGAATCGTTAACGACGACGTCTGGACTTTCAACACGCAATCGTCAAGTCAATGGGATGGATTCCGACATTTCGCTTACCAAAAAGAGGCACGCTTCTACAATGGTGTCACATTAGACGAGATCCATGGCCGCAATGGCGTGCAAAAGACGAACAATATTGGCATAGGAGCTTGGGCCGAGAAGGGAATCGTTGGAAGAGGAATTCTACTCGACTACCACGAGTACCGCTTGAAAAACAACATCCCGCACAATGCCTTCGAGACAGCCGCTATCCCTGCCGACACGCTACGAGATGTGGCCAAGAGTCAGGGCACAGAGATCAAGTTTGGAGATCTGCTCTTCGTTCGTTCTGGATACCTTGATGCATACAACAAGCTTTCTCGACCCGAGATTGAGACGCTTCGCGCAAAGCAGCCTCTCACCTTCACAGGCGTGGAGCAAAGCGAGGACATGATGGAGTTCATGTGGAACAACTTCTCGGCTTGCGCTGCAGATCACCCATCGTGGGAAGCATGGCCCACACAGAAGGATTATTCGTTGCATGAGGTCATGTTGGCCGGTTGGGGCATGCCCATTGGCGAGCTGTTCGATTTGGAGAAACTGGCAGCGCATTGTAGAGAAGTCAAGAGGTGGTCTTTCTTCGTGGTGAGCAAGCCGGTGTATGTTCCCGGTGGAGTGGCAAGTCCGCCCAACATCGTGGCAATATTTTAGACCTTACCACCACCGCAAACACTGACTCTTGCCATTAAATTCCTTCCTTCTGGCTCATTTATTAATTGGATATTCGGCATCATTTCAGGCGATGATGCTTTTGCAGGGTCCACACTACTCACTCGGATCGCAGTCCCGATGCTTCAACAACTTTCCCGGTGTGGTAATAACTTTCCGGCATTGACCCACGAGAGTACCAGAACCATTTCCCTTGAGCGAACTCGCTGGTGTGGTGATTTGGTAGGAGGATGGGTAGATACATCACTGGCATGGGGAATGGCTGAGTTTTGGTGGTATGGTTGCGCCGATGCACACGAATCAGCCTGAGTGGTAATCTACACGGGACTCGAAGGATATTGTTTTGCTCACGGCGATTCCGATCAGTTCTTCGGACTCGAGCGCTTTTGTTCTCCGTTTACTTATGCCACGTGCGGCTTCTCTAATTCGTCTGACTGATCGTCTCCGCTCGAATAGTCTGCTTGCCTGAAGTGGGGCATTCCCGTCATTCTCAGGGAGCCAGCACTTCGAAGACAATGGCTTTCAAGTGAGAACATCTTGTACGATTGTGGGATCTCTCTGCCTGGTATCCTCTCGAAGCTTTTCATATCCCCAACGCCGCGCTTTGCCCATTTATATATCTTGGATCATCTGGCCGCCGAGATTTCGTCCTCTTTAGATTTCGCTGATCTATCGTCCACGTCCTCCGCCGCTCCCATCTCAATACTCTTCTCGGCATCAACTGAATTGACCTGATCTTGACTATCATGTCCGTGATGATGCTGATGAAGATCTTTATGAACTGCTTTCTCTGCGTCGTCAAGCTGCGCAGCCGCCTCAGGCGTATCAACTTCCGTAACTTTTCCATCGGCAGAAGTCTTGCTCTTCTTCCAAATACTCCAACCACCATGCCACCCAACCCAACCTTCTTCCCAAGGCCCTCTCGCAAGCGTGACCAGAATAGCGACTCCAATACTCCCAACACTGTAGCTCCCACTCGCAATCCAACCTCCCCGTTCATACAAATGTGCCCCAACCGCGGTGCCTGTGAGCTGACCCGCGAACGTGAAGACCATAAATGCAGTGTTCACCCGATTCTTTCCCTTCGGTTCAACAGAGTATATCGCCGACCGATTCGCAATCTGCGTCGTCTGCATTCCAAAGTCCTGGAAGAAAGCTTGTAAAATCGGTCCCGCGACGGTGAAGGTCCCGGCATACGTTCCCAAACATATCCCCAACATACACCAACCCATCCCCAGCAGCACCGTGAACAGCGGCACAAATCTGTCAATCACAACTTTTGCGTAAAAAGGCCCTAGACACATACCCGCAATCCCGACCAATGCGAAAAGTCCGATCACCACAGCATCGTAGTGGTATGGAGGTCCGGCGAGTAAGAACGTCAGGACTGTCCAGAAATTCGTAAACGTCGCGCTGACGAAGAAACTTATCACACATGCCTGTACCAACACCGGATGTTTGGTCAACATGACCAAAATACTCCAAAGAATTTTCACATACGTCTTCGGTCCCAATCGTCCAGGATTCGTAGCAGGATAATCCGGCATGAAGCACCACAGCAAGAGGAAAATCAAATATTGTAATCCGACACTCATCCAATATATCGTTCTCCACGACGTGTACTGCGTGACGACTCCGGAGAGTAATCTCGCGACTAGGATTCCGAGCATGAGGCCTGTCGTGACGATGGAGAGTGCAAAAGCTCTACGGTTCGGTGGGGCCAGATCTCCGACGAGTGGCATCATGAGTTGAGGGGTGACGGTTGTGACGGCGGTGATGAATTGGATGGCGGAAAAGACTTGGATGCTGCTCGTCGCGGCTAAGCCTATGCACATTGTGGCTGTGAAGAAGACGAGGCTCAGCACGAAAGGCCTTCTTCGTAACATGTCTCCTAAGGGACAGAGGAAGAGGAGACCGACTGCGTAGCCTGCTTGGGCTAGGGTCGGAATTTGCGAGACTTGAACGTATTCGACGCCGAAGTCATGGGCGAGGATGTTGAGGATGGGGTGGTTGTAGTAGAGGTTTGCGACGGTGAAGGCTCCGGCGAATGCGAAGAGGATGTTGAGCCAGATGCTGAATCTTGGAGGATTGGATGCGTCGTAGTGCATTGATGGGGGGACGTAGAGGAAGGGCCAGAAGATGAAGCGGCACGTGTTCTTCCATATTGATGAGAGTCGTGATGTAGATTTCGTCCTTTCTCGCTCTTCGTCGCTGGTTGTTGCAGATGTCGCTCGAGCTGGTAGTGGAGGATTTTTCTGATGATGTTGTTTGACTTCACCGCCGGGCTGGGATTGTGAGATTGGCTTCGAGATTGCCGACACGGGGTTTGATCCGGAAGGAGTGCACATGGCTGCGAAAGTTTCAGGGTGACGGGGTTCCGGTCATGACGCTGAATGAAAGTGCATGCCCAGAACAATGATATTGTTTTGCATATCATCAACATCCAAGACAAACAGCGAGAAATGCATGGAGATAAGGTGGCGATCACAAGTGCACCTGCCGGCTCCTCGTTGAGCGCATTCTTGACCGAATGCCGATCACCCGTGTGTACCAAGCACTTCCCGGTTACTTACTGCGGGTTAGCAGATCTTCGAAAACGTCCCGACTCGCGAAGCGATGGTCACACAAGCCTCGATTAGCACAAGCTGAATCGGGCTATTTGTAAGCACATATGTTGTGTGAGTAGTGAGAAATTCATTGCGTCTGGTCGTTGTCTGCTTTTCCATTCCTTATAGCTGGTCCATAACGCCGCGCTGAAGACATCCCAATATGTACGAGTTTGGACGACATGAACGGGGATGTTCTTATCTTCCCAATAATTCACCCTCGACATCGAATGCAGCATTCTACACAATGTCCCACTCAGAATCCGAGCTCTCTTGATGTTCGACGGCGGTAATGGAGCTTGCTGCACTGCGCTTGCGAATGGGCAAACATGTCTCGTATGCCGTCGAAGCTGGCCTGTCCACAATCACCAATGTCTCAGCGTCAGAGTCGTTGTCCGAGCTGAGCGCCTCGACTTGTGCCGGTCCTGCAAGCACCTCGTACTCTTCAGAAGCCTCCTCTTTCACGACCGGAGCAGTCTTTGCCGCTGCTCCCCAGAACGCTCGGTCTGCATCCACGGAGACAGTCTCGCTTGGAAGGTTTTGTGCTTCTGCCTCTGGAGCAAGGGCCTGCTTCTCGTTGAGCAACGGGCTGTCTCTATGCTTGTCTTGGATCATTTCGTGCTTTGAGCGAAATGCCAGGTAGAGCCCGCCAGCGCTCGGAGCTGGTGTCATCTCTAGCATCTTTCGCTTCTTGGGCGAAGCCGCGAATGCATCTCCCCCATGGAAGTTATAGACGACATCTTGGTTCGTTGACCGTCCGAAGCCGTCTTCTCTCGATGCGTATGTCTCAGGAACGTAAGGCTTAAAGGGCATTTGAATAATTGCTTGGGCAACTGTCATGATGTTAGCAAGTTCATTTTCATGGAGACGCTAGGGGTCACTTACTGCTCTCATCCTCAAATTGCCTGCTCATGCTGACCTTGCACAAGTCTTGATGGAATGGTCGAAGATCGTATGCCATACGGCGAAATTCGAAGTCGTCTGCCAACCTGTGGCTCAAGAAGCAGGTCACGCAGTAATTTGTGATGGTGTCGATTACGTTTGCTGATTCGCGCATGTTCCTGTACATGTACTCGATGGCAGCGCACAGGTCAATCGGCTTGTCGGGGGAAGAACAGCCAAACTCGCATTGGCGTATGATGTTGAGGTTGGCCGCGGTCTTGAGCTCAGGCAGATCGTAGATGTCAGCCAAACGATATAGCTGACAGTGGACGAGCAGAGATGTTGGGACATCTTGAAATGACTCCCCATTCGCCGTGGGCAGATTGTAGACACCAGTGTAAAGGTATTGCAGGAAGGGCCGGGCGCTGAGGGGAGTGAGTGGCTCAAGATGCAGCTGAGGCCCGGTAGTGGAGTCTTCGAAAGCCTGAGCCAGAAGGAAGCTGCGCTCTTCGATGATGCATGGACTGAGATCGGAAATGGACTCCATGTCCCCAAGATCATTGAGATATGTGATTGTCGCGTTGCCCTTCGGAAAGCAGTGGAGAAAAGACATATCAGTGGGTAGCGTGTCCAGCGAGAATGGGCTGTCTTTGCCCATGTAACCAGCATCCTTTTGTGGGTTGGGCGGTGACTTGAGCTCCTTATCCCAACCATCTAAGAAGTCATCGACGACAGGATATTGCCAGCCATTTTGAGGCGACCGAGTCGCGTCGCTGTGCAGAGGTGAGATTTTGTCCTGTGCTACAAGCAGATTTGATTCCTCCGGGCACTCATGCCAGCCAAGCGGCGAGGAAGGCATGCGCCATGAGAAGGGATCTGGCGTTGCTTCTGAAGTTTCCAGGTATGGCTCCAGAGGTCCGACAGTAGGCAAAATGCGTCGCGGCCTAGGCGGTGGTGCGTAGAAGGTGAAATCGTCGTCCATGGCTCTGGGATGGCTGTCGGGGTGGGGTGAGTGCGAGGGTGAGCAAGCGCCAGACTGCCTACCGGAACATGTCTGTCAGTGTCGAGACGAGTGCTTCAACGACAACAACAACTGCAATGAAGGAGATGGCGCAGTGCAGACGTTTGAGGCCGCCATTCCAGCATTCCAGGAAAGGCTGCCTGGAGTCACGGGAAAGTGGTGCCCCTCGTTTGCAGGAAGCACAGCACAGCTGTCTGGCAGACTGGCATACAGCTTCACCAAGCATGGCTTCGAAAGGTGCGATTGGATGCATTGGGGCTGAGCTACAGCTGTTGTGTGCCTCGAGCAAAGTCTACTCGTACTCCGGTGAGAGTGCTGTTGGTCCTTCTGTGAGTCAAGACGGACGTGTACTGGCGGCTGCTGGCGGCATAGTTCCAGACACATGGCAGGATGCAGTGCTCGATATCATCAGCTACCGCTATCTTTCACACAAACATGAAGCTTGCATTCTTTGCTGTGAGAAAAAAACGAGGGAACTCAAGTCTTGGCGGACGAGTTGCACTGTGCATCGGATCGGCAAGAGCTTCCGAACTCCGACCGGCCCGAAGATGCGTGCTTTGTCTTGTTGGGGACTTGGGGGAGTCGCGATTCACCAAATGATGTGCAGGTGGTGGGGAACGACGTCAGTCCATCGCATCCATCTTGTGCACCTCTTCTTTTGCTAAACACTTCTCGACATAGCCGCTTTTGGCAGTTGAATTGATCATGGGATGGTCCTCGATCCTGCCGGAAAGTCTGCAGACGTTCGAGACGTGGATCACGAGGCTCTTTGTGAGTTCTCATGCTGTGCGACACGACGAGAGGCATCGGCAGTGCTGAAATTCCCGAAGCTGCTGTTCGCATTCTTGACCATCGGGCCCTGGCTGGCTTTCATAATCTATGATGTACTTCTGTACATCTGGCGCTCCGCTACCTACGAACTGCCTTATATTGGCGGCAGAGCACGAGGACGACAGAGACCCCGAGCCCCCAGTCTGACCGAACGACCTAGCGGACACAAGCGCCGAATAAGCATGCCGGGAATAACGCAGCGCCCTACTTCAATTCGAGAGGAAGCAAGTACATCGACAGCAACTCCGAACAATCTTCACAGCACTGCACCCAGGACGCCGTCGAAGCTTAGAGATTGAGAAGCACTCTGATCGCTGCAAACCTACTACCAACCATTATCTGGTCAGATGCAGCATTTCTGCGCCAATCCAAGACAGCATTCTTGCTTCCCGGACCATGGTCCACCTTTGTGCTCGCGTTGCACGTGGTTGCCTTGTTGTTGCAAGCTGCTTGTCCGAAAGCTGGGGCTGTAGACTGCAAGGAACCGCACATGCTCAAAGATCGACCAGACTTTTTGTAAGCAGGTGTCTGAGATCAAATTCAAAGCCTTTGTCGAGAGCATCGCAACCTCAACACCACTTTCCCATTAGCGTCCCCTGAGCTGGGAAGCTGACCCGTTCCATCCCGCTCCCGTTCATGGTCCTCATCCAGCCCCAGATCGAGCCCCTCAAAAGCTGCCCTGCTGAGTGCAGTGCTCCGCCGGGTAATGATGACCGCCCAGGACATCGACCGCCCCGATCTCATGGGTGCTAACGAGCAGGAGGAGTCACTTGTCGTCACTGCTGTTACACGGCGGCGAAACGGATGATGTCCTCGGCTATGTGCATGGACATCTAGCCAGCCGAACGGGACGGGAGTTCAGGGCCAAGTGAAATCGTTGCCCTCAATGGCAGGCCAGCTGACCCCATGACAGCAGACTCAAGCCCCCCATCGTCACACTCACGATGGACCGACGGCGGTGACGCAGTGGGCACATAATACGCCAAAACCCGGCTGCTCGCCCGTTTGACCTGCGCGCGGTTCTGCATCGAGCAATCTCAGATCTCCATCAACAACATGGCTTGGATATTCCACGAAGACCATTATGAGTTCATGAGTGATCGCACGTATCGCTCTGCTCCTCCTTCGCCTTGGCTGTACAACGATCTCCTGAGCCGTCGAGTCATGGCTTCATATGGATACGAGAATGGCAATCACTGCGACGCATTCGGTGATATTTTGGTTGATGGCTCCGAGTATGCAATGCTCGGGGCGATACCTGTCTTTCTCGGACAGCCGCGAACGAGCTATTATCCCGGAGAAGTCGTTGGCCGGTGAGTGCTGGCTGTTTGAGACACATGATGAATGGCTCACTCATTCATTGTGACAGCAATCTTCGAGCTGCCGTTGCCAATGGAGCAATTCCGTACCCAAGCTCATTTGTGCAAATACAACCAATGCTGCGCTCCGATGGTCGCTATCCTGCAGACTTCTCAACTCCACGGCGCTTGATAGATTTTCAAGAGATGGGTGAGCATCAACTGAACCGCATCATGACAGCATACGAGCTGGAGCCTAATACCTCGAGATATAATGACGCTTTGCGATGCCCGCTCTTGCTTCATCCGTATCATCATCGCCAAGTCCATCAGCAGCAGCGTCTGGCGAACCTTATCGCCCTCTTTGACTTCTTGGCTGCGTATCGCATCGCAGAAGCCTTGCGAGGTCGAGGTAGATCAATGCTCCCAGGCGGAACACCCACCTATCGTCAATACGAATGGTACTAGCATCTTCCCATGCCGCTTTTAGATCCTGAGCATTTTCGGCCTCTCATCTAAATTTCGCATTGTCAGACCAGAGTATGGCATACATATCACCATGATTGAAGATGTGGTGCAAGCAAGTGAGGCGTCTTGGCCGGCCGCAGGCCCGAGGACTTTCCTACCGAAGCAGGAAGGTACAGGCGCACGGGCCTTTGGCTGTAGCGGAAAGCCATTGGCTCACGATATGCAAGCTCCACGCTTGACGGTTGACTCAACTACATAGCATAGCTACCCCAGTTCTACACATACTTCACGTCGTCTAAACGCGAAGACTGGTTACTTACTCATACCATTGTTTGCATCGTTCGCATTCATGTTCAAAGATTCAATCGTACAGCACATCATGCTTTCTCCCCTTCTCTTTGCTATCTCTTTCTGTCTTCTCGCTGTTGCAAGCGGTTACAAGTTCCTGGTCCGGAGACGATGGAGGCAAATATCTTCGCAACCACTACCGCCAGTTGAAAAGGACCCATATCTCAGCATCGAAACCCTCCCCAACTTTGACTGGAAAACGACCCCGCCAATCCGCAACTCACCTCTCAAGCCTAAATACCACCTCACCATGGCCGTGGAGAAGATCACACTGTCGGAAATACTAGATATGGACAACACCTACGCCGAAAGAATGCAAATCCGTCGTCAGATCATGGACGAAAACACAGACGCCACCATTCGTTGCAACAAAGTCTGCGAGCCAGCGGTCCTCGAACTCCACGACTGGATCTTCGGCACCTACCTCCCTCAACGCTATCCAACCATGTACGAACTCCAAAACACAACCTCCCCCTCCGGTCCTCACCTCCTCAACAAAGTCACCAACGAACTCATCCCTCTCCACCAACCCTCTCCCCTCCAAGCCCTCCACACCCTCGGCGCACACGTCGACACCGATCTCCTCCTCTTACTCCCCTCCAGCACCGCCCCCGATGGAAGCCCCCTCTACCACCTCGAAGCTTTCGTATGTTGTTTCCCCTCAGGCTTCAGTCTACGAAAGAAACTCGGTCTCCCACTCTCCGCTATTCATATGCCTGTCCCGGGTTACAAAACCAAACTAGAAAAATCTATGGATCGTTTTTTCGCGCGGCTGGAGTGTGGGAGTGCGGTGAAAAGGGCGAATTGGACTATTACGACGAATGAGCCGCTTTTTAGTGAGGGGGGGAATCATCTTTATGCTACTACCGGGGGGATGAAGGGGGAGGAGAAGGAGAAAGTTTCTTTGCAGGCTCGGATCGAGGAGGAGAAGGCGAAAGTTGTGATTGGGGATTGTAGATTGAGGAGTGAGAGGCAGACGCTTTTTCGGTTGCCGAGGAGTCGGGCTGTGGTTTTTGGGTTTAAGACTTTTCAGTATTTGCTTGAGGATGTTAAGAGGGAAGGGTATGGGGAGAGGTTGGCTGAGGCGATTGAGGGGTTGGGGTTGGGGAATGTACCCGAGATTCAGGTTTATAAACGGGGGGTTGTTTGGGGGGAGAAGGTTTTGGAGTTTTTGAGGAGGTGAGAGGTGAGTGACTGGGATGGGAATAGAGGAGAGGGTAGGAATTTAATGTATACCCAGGACATGTCTACTAACGAGGAATGAAGCATGAGCTGATGAATTGCTCACTTCCAATGGATCGAGGTGCCCGTGTCCTACCAAAAGACCACTTCCCCAAGTCTCTGCTGATCTGCTTGAGGGTATCTGGTCTTCAACCGCATTTGAGTGTTGAAAACTTGGTATAGTCGACGTACAAGGCCTGAGGATTGGGGAGATGGTAAGCAGCTGTCGGTGACGCCTGAGGAGGGAAGCGGGAAGCGACCAAGTGTAGATTATGGCCAAAGATCGAGGAGCCGGTCCCAGTCGCATGTATTGCCCTAGGATGGAGCCTCTGCTATCTTGCCTGGCTACAGCAGCCTGCAAGACCAAATGGTATCACGCACAGCGCAGTGGATTACTTACGTAATACTGCATTGCCGGCGGTTGAATTGGCTTCGTTGATTGCCTATATCTTAGTCTATTCTATGGTCTAAAATACAGTGTAAAAATTCTTCATGCTAAGAGGTTACGTGTCTATTATATAATTGAGCTAACGCGTCACACACCCCCTTAGCTTATATAAAAGGGTTTTAGGCAAGGTAGTTAATGCTTCTTTATATACAAATAAAAGAAAATTAATCCTTTTAACTCCTTATATAGTACTTTATTAAAACACTAAAAAAATAGTTTAAATCTACACTATATATAAGAGAGTCTTATTTTATACCTCGAGTACCCCGAAGGATATCGTTACATAATCCGGACTGCGTATATACCTTTATATACAGTCCCTATTACTAGGAACTGTTTTCTTCCTACGTAGTCTAAGCACAGACCGACACTATTAAGCCTTATATAAGAACTCGTATCGTTAGTAAAGTTAGTTTAGCTAAACTAAGCCCGTTATATTATTACTACCGGTTATTATATTAATCGTATAGGTAGCGTCTATTTAATTAGATAAAGGATTAGGTAAGATATATATTGTTTAAACAGATTTAATAAATTAGGATAGGTAACTTAACTAAGGACGCTACCCTTAGCTAAGACTACTATACTATTATTACTAGTACTAATACAATCGCCGTAGACTTGTTATTAGTTAGCAGAAGTAACGCTCGAAGTAATAATATAGGCGATAGTAACGTACCCCGTAGGGTAAGGTTACCTATACTATTATTTAGTCTATATTAGAAGGTAAGGTTAAGTCCTTTATTCTAATTAGTCGTCGTTATCGTATTAGACACTTTTGTTAGTACTAATCGATAAAGTTGTGTTTAATCGACTTAGTTATAATTAGTAGATAAAGGGGGGGAGGCGCCTACTACCTATTATATAGAGTTGTCTTCGTATTACGGAAGAGGAAGAGGTTATCGGAGGAAGAGTTGCTTCCTTATATACCCCTATAAAGTACCGTATAGGTAGGTACTACCTAAGGGTTGCCGAGCGAAGCGAGACCTAAGTAGAAGAACTATTAGAATTTGTTACTTAGTAGTTTATTATCGTATCGCATTGTCGCAATATCGCTGTCGCTATTGCTATATCTCCGAGTCGTTATTATAGTACTAAAGCGAAGCTATAAGGCGACAAGGCTATAGTTACGTAGGGGGGACATTTTGATTTCTTCTAATTAGAAGCCGAGCCTAGATTTGTATAAGCGCATCTTTAAACTAAACCCCCGGCGAACACTCTATACGTAATATCTAAATTCCTGCCTAAGTACACAAATTCTAACTGTTCTTCTACTTAGCTCGTAAACAGACAACACCTTCGTATCCTCGTCGTAAGCTCCTCGAATGCTTCGGCTTATACCTGTTTACTTCGCTTCGCTCGGATAACTATATATCTTAGTTAGTTGTTAGGTTAGGTAGTTCAGTTAGCCTTAGCTGTTTAATAAACCTCTTTTAGTTCTAAGGGCTATAGAGCTTAGTTATTCTATCGGCTAGTATGTCTTATATAGCTAGGTAGTTATATTAAATCCTTCTAGCCTTATATTCTTGCCTTAGCTAGCATTAGTAAATGTCTATATAGCGGAGCTTCGTATCTAGTTTGCTAGCATTAGCTTTAATAATGCGGATAGTCTATATATTGTTATAGTATAGTATAGGAATGCTATCTAAGGTAAGGCTAATATTGTTAAAGAAACGCTTCTACTAGATCAATTCTAAGCCTATATATAAGGCAGCTAGCAGTTTAGCTTTAGTCGTAGATTTAGTAATAGTTAACTATCGTACTACCTTCTAATTAACTAGTCTATTAAATAGGCTGAATATCTATCCCTCTAACGACTATCTCGTACCCTTATAGTTACTATAGGATGCGTTAGAAGCTACGTAGAATTTATAAAGCTATTAGCTTAAATAAGCGGTAATTGTTAGTTCGTTTGCGTTATACTCTAAGTATAGGTCCTTTGTGTTTAGCAGGTATCTAATGCACTAGTCTACTACTACTATATCTTCTGTCCGCGGGTTCTATAGAGCCTTAGACAATAAGGACACTACCTTAGCTATGTCCGGCCTAGTTTGAACTACTACAAAGTTAAGTGACCCTATACGGCTCTAGTAGGCTAGGATTGCTACTAGATTAAGTCGAGCATAGTTATCTTTACTAGAAGTTGGTTTCTTATATAGTTCGTATCTAGTTAGCAGGGGTGCTTTAGCTCTTCGACTAGCAATTGCGATACTATATCTTTAAGCTATCTTCTCGGTATATATCTTCTAAGACAGCTACAGTTTCCTATTCTGCCTATCGCGTATAATTTTAATACTAAGGAACTATAAGAGCTTTCCTAGGTTACTAATTTTATATTCCTTTATTAACTTCTGCTTAAGGTCTATTGCCTTTTGTATATGCTAGCGGTAATATAATAGTATAATGTCGTCTATGCAGAAGAAGATAAATACCTGTTTGTCTAGGTCGGTGTATAGGCAGTCTATATTGTCTACTAGTTATATACCAAGTTTGTTTTCTAGTGTTATAGTAAAGTGGTTATACTATAGCCGAGGTAACTCTTACAGACTACAGAGTACTCAGATTAGTTTTAATACCTTGCCCTTCTGCTTAAATCTATTAGGCGGCCTAAGGTATAGCGTATATAGGAATATAGCATTAAGGAAGGCATTGACTATATCTATTTACTTGGCTTCTGGGTTAAACTTAGCTACGATAGCTATAAGGGCTCTAAAAACTCGTATAGCTAGTATTAAGGCATAGATGTCTAAGTGTGTGTTCTTCTGAAGGTCCCCTCTTGTGTATGCTCTTGCTTTAGGCTTGATTGGTCGACTATTGGCATTACCCTTGTATTTAAATGCCTAGGTAAGAGGCAGGAGGTTAGGTTTGTCTAGTATATTTAGATCTACCTACTCGAATATACGTATCTCTAACGCCTTATTGAATTCCACTCTTGCAGCATGTATCTAATGCTCTTTAAATTTGCTCTTTAGTACCTGTCGCTAGTTGCGTAGCTCCTTTAGCAAGTCTAACACTTTTGGTATAAGGGTTAGATCGTCTTTATTACGAGGAAGTAGTAGTAGCAGATCGCTATCGGCTTGATTATTATCGGCGCTATTACTATGTATTAACCTAGCTTCGTGCTCTGCTACTATATATAGGTTGCTAAATAGAAGGAGGTTTCTCGCTTAGTCTCGGTCGTTAATACAGTAACGGATCGCGGCTGCTCGTTATCGCTTGTTTGGATTATTAATACGATAGTATAGACCTCCTGTATTTAGTAAGTAACGATAAGATATATTAGCTGCTTTAATTGGCATTAGCAATTTAGCAAGCTCTATACGTAGTAAATTTATGTCTATATTATCTGCGTAACCTAGTGCGTCTATATTGTTAGTAGGGGTATAAGTACTAGCATCGTTCTTAGGTTGTTAAGGTTGCTAATTAATAGTTAGCTAACTAATAGTTAGTTTAACTAATTCACTTAGCACGTTATTACGCGGCTATAGTATTTCGCGTAGATTAATTAGAAAGTCTTGTTTCTATATAGGTACCTATATACGCTATAGCTTAGCTAGTGCTAGTAGTTAAGGTAGTAGTAGTTCTAGTCTAATAGGGTTATCTATTAGCCTGTTAACTATTATAAGTCAACTAGGCCCTATTAGTGTATCTACCCCCTTAGCTCTAAACCTAACAAGGTCTAGAGGTATATCGTAGGCTTCTTGAAGCTCGTTAAACTAATGCTCCGAGGCGGGTGCTTATGCCTCTTCGAGATTACTATATTCTTCTACAAGCTCTTAATTAGTTATAACAACACCTAGGTCATTATTGTAGCTATTATAGAACTTGGTTTTATTAAATATAACGTCCCTTGTACGTAGCACTATTATTCGTAAGGGTACCTATATCCTATAGATAGAGTATCCTTTATATCTATATAGGTATCTAATATAGGTGCGTAGGGCTACTTTTATAGTGTTTAGCAGTATAGCCTACTTTTGCTATTAGTTGCCTCTATACCGTAGATTACTAGATATGCCCTTGCTCTAAACTAGTAGATATAGGCTATATTTGGCTTATAGCTAGTGCTAATCTTATATAGGGTACGTATCGATAGGTCGGCTATACGTAATCTTAGTAACCTATTAGCTAGGAAGGTTGCTATATAAACTGCTTCTAGCTATAGGTTGTGTAGAAATCTAGCGTGTATTATTAAGGCTCGAGCTACCTTAATAATAGTACGGCCTGCTCGCTCTACTAGGTCCTATTCTAATATATATAGGGCTGTTAGCCTCTATATAGTATAGTTATTGCGTAGATACGACCGAAACCGAAGGCCTAAAATACCTCCCTTATTGTTAGATAATAGGCATATAATGTCTCTACTAATGCTACGCACGAAGGTAGCTATTTAGTTCTAGCATTATAGAAGAGTTAACTCCTAACGATTGCTAATAGTCTATATAAAATAAAGGCTACTAGTAGTATTTAGGTCGTATGTATAGAAAATGTACTAATCACTATTCTAGGCTAGATCTAGCTACATTAGGTCGGCTATAAGGTGTCTATATAGAGTTAGTATCGACACATTATAGTGCCTTAGTCTCCTAGAGATAAGCCTCTTGCCCTTTGCTTATATATAGATAGGA